CATGAAATGGTCACATACCTAAGGCTAGAATTAAGCTGACTTAGGCTTGCTAATAGATACCACCAGTAATTTATGTAATTTCGTTTATATTAAGATATCAAAAGAACATTAATATGTTGGTATAATATAAATTTAATTTCAGAGAACTTCATCTACAATAAATTTGTCACCAGGAGAAGTGGAAGAAGATGATGATGATGAAAACACTTGTGGGCCCTCAGGACTCTGGGAAGCATTGACTCCTTGTAATGGATGCAGGAACCTTGGCTTCCCTATTCTTGCACAGGTAAAAGTTTGGTTTTCTTAAGGTACAAGAAACATTAGAATAATGCCTATGTTTTAAAGTAAATATTCAGTTCTCCCTCTCCAAAAATCCACTAGTATCTTGTTCATATTATACTTTTTCTTCAGTTAAAGTTCAATAAAATGGGTATGTAATTTGCTGTACGTAATATGCAAGCACATAATTTATGCCAGAAAAATTGAGGTGCTTATGAGATTTTAACATGTGTGCTCTAGAGAGATTTCATTTTCTAAAAGACTTGTTTATTTATGCATACAGAGGTGTAGCAGGTGAGAAGGCTTCACCTGAGACAGAGTGAGGAACATAAGAGGCAGATGTACTGAAATACACTGCTGAGGGGAGCAAGTGGAAGGGTCAGGAGAGGTCTGCTGAGCCATGTGGGTCATCTTCCTGGCCAGGATCAAAGTTTTGCCTCAGCAGATGCGATAGCTTCATAGTGCTGCTCTTTAACCGGTTGCACCACCAGGGAGGGCCCTAGAGAGATTTCATTGTAAAGGATGCAATTCTGAAATTAAATTGCATTTTCTATTAAAATAGTAAAAATCGGCCCTCCCTGGTGGCGCAGCGGGTTAAAGCACAGCACTGAGAATCTAAAGCTGCTTCCGCATGAGTTCGATTCCCGCCTGCCCCGGAGGTGGCCACATGGCGTGGCAGACCTCTTCTGACCCGCCCGCTGCTCCCCTCAGCAGTGTACTTCATCGATCTGCCTGTTCTGTTCCCCACTCTGTCTCTGGTGAAGCCTCTCACCACCCCTGAGTCTCTGGCCTGTACCCCAGTTCTGTATGCACAAATAAATAAATCTTTAAAAAAAATAGTAAAAATCATTTACAAGAAACATCTTAGGGATCTTTAAAAACATAGTCAATGATCATTTTTCTTTGCACAGTGGAACATTATAGAATAATGTATACCAGTGAGGATAATGCAGTGGCATGTAAAAGTAAGAACAAAACACTGGAACATTGATTCCAAGTCTGAACCCATTTGATTGTCTGTTAAGTCAATTTTGATTCGGTTCTATTATCTTCAAATTCCTGTTGTGTGTTTTGAACCGTGAGTCCTCAATGGATTTCAGAAATGAGTGATATAAGCCAAACAGTTATGAAATTTGAAGTTACAATAAAATATTTTGATACAAAAAATGGTAGAAACAATACTCAACGGAAAGCAGTTCACAGTAATTGAACAGAATAGTGTGAAATAATTCACTGTGATTACTATAGAGTAGCATTATAACCAAAGATAGTATTTTCTGATTTCCAACAAATGTGAAATGATTGTGTCTCAGAAACCATCATGATTTTCAAATACGTGTATCATCATTTGATTGTAGCCACTCAAATTGCAATATTTATTGTGGAAAGCTAAGCCAGACAACCAAATTGACATACAGTACTTAATCTGTCCACCTAAATATGAACTATTTATTCATAGAACTTTAAAATACTTTATGATAATTCTGTAATTGTTATCAAAATATGCTGAACTGTGAATTTCATAAAGCTACGCTCTATTGCTCAGTATATGGCTAATGCCAGCATAGTTCCTGATATATTATCAGAATCAGTAATAGTTGAATGAAAATGAACAAATGTGAATATTCTAAGGTTTCATCACTTCAGTTAAATTTTTTACTTACAGTATTTACTTGTAAGGGTAAATGAGAAAGGAACTTAACATAAGTTTTATTTGAGCATTCTATCATCTGCTTAATAGTTTACCTAATTCAATATTTTGCCTATTTTTTTCCATTCAATTAAGTATCTTTCTAGTTTGTATTTTAAAGTGGAAATCTTAGGCAGTGTTAGGGCTCTTTTAATAGATAAATCATTCCAATCAAAAAGTCATTAATAATATGTGGCTGTATTTCCCCATCACCTTATATTTATTTTATTTTATTAGGCATGATAATGGGCATGACTAGACCTGATTTGGTTTACCATATTTTAGTATTAGCTATTTTACTATTAATATTGAATATTTTCCTGTGAAGATTGTTAATATTTTAGTATTTACATTACCTCAAAAAAAGCTGTCTACAGCATTGTTTTTTAAAAAAAATTTTGATTATGTAGATTTTTTTGCTATCAGATGCATTAATCTTCTCAGTCATATTTTTTTTGTGTAATTCTTCTCATCAACAATTTCTTGTAACACATTTCAAATATAACTCTAGTGTTTCCTGTCATTTTGCAGTGGATGAGAATTTCCAGTCCTTTCTTAAATATTTTATTCTATTTGGTTTAGGTTTTCTTTTAAAATCTCTGATTTCCCAGTTTTAAAAACCACATTTCATAAAATATAAAGCAGGAACAACTATTGTTTAAAGTTATTAAATGATATGACTGCCTGGTTTTTAAAAAATATTTTTTTCTGTATTATTATTTTATAAGTATTCTCATTGGGGTTTCAGTTGTTAAAGCATTCAACCTGGAGAATTGTTACTGCATTGAACCTATACATTTATAAGAGTAGAACTTTTATCTAATCTTCTTATCTAATCTTACTAATGTTCTCACTTTGTTGATGAATACTCCCTTAATATTTATATATAAATATATAAGAAAATTGATTCATGTGCAATTGCACAAAACTATAGAAATACATTTGTATTTTATAACCCTATTAATGTGCAATGGTTCTTTCCTTAGTATAAGACATTTGTTATGATGCCTCCAGATTCATATTGAATGTAAATTTACCCTACAGTTGGAAACATTTTAAGAAAACATGTATTTTTGAAGCCTTTTTTTTAAGGAGAACATTAAAAATCATTAAGCCAAAGCACTGTATCTAGAACTGCATAAAAAACTATCTTACAGTTTGGCATGGGAACCTGTGGAATTAGTAGCATAGTAAAGCATTATCCAACTAAATGTATTTATTTTACTTATATAATCCTTAATTTGTAACATGTGTAATGATGTTTAGTTTCAGAAACATGAGGATTATGGAATTGGACTTATTTTGAAACCAGATTACCTGTACATTTTGGTTCAGGATTATAAAACTATGTAATCAAACTGTGATCAAACTGTTTTTTTTTTAATTTTATAGAAGATGTTTTTGCTGTATTTTTAAAAAAGATTTATTTATTTATGCATACAGAACTGGGGTACAGGCCAGAGGTGCAAGGGTGTTGAAAGGATTCACTAGAGATAGCGTGGGAAGTAGAACAGTCAGTTCAATGAAGCACACTGCTGAGGGGAGCCGCGAGTGGGTCAGGAGACATCTGCTACGCCATGTGGTCACCACCCTGGGCAGGGATCGAACTCACGCTAAAGTGGCTTTAGATTCTTAGTGCTGTGCTTTAACCCTCTGTGCCACCAGGGAGGGCCCAAACAGTGTTTTTACTTGCAAAATTACAGCATAGGCTGATCCCTGTGGCTCTTACCCTCTCAGATTACCTAATTTTCAATTTTTGCCAAAATTTTGGGATTGATCCAATATTTAGATCTTATGTATGTTTTCTGTAGTAACCTTTCCTTTGTGCCTATATTTTTGATATTTCTATAAGAAACAAATCCTTTGAAATTCATAACAATGTAGAACAATATAATATCAAGACATTAAAATTAAGGTTTAATATAATCTCAAAGCAAGAAATAGGAGGTAATGAAGACTAATGAGGCTGGGGAAATGAAGCCTTTTCTAGAAAGTGTAAGTAGTGCAAATTTGTTCAACACTCCTGACAAAAATCACTATTCCTATTTACAGAATGCCTAGTATTTGCGAGATACTTCGCATGCTAATCTGTAATTCTCAAAGTAACCATTCAACTAAGGAAAGAGGTAGCTTACCAAAGGTCAGAGTTAATGGGTGGCAGTGCTACATTTCAAATCTGAATTTCCAAAAGCTATGATATAATGTGATGTTGCTTTCCTGGTATCATTTATATTACTCCTCCACTTATCGATTGCTTCTGTCTATGATTATATATTGTGAAAGTTTTGGGAGCATATTCTTTGGCAAATAACTGTGTACCATAAATGGATGAGAATCTTAGAGCATAATCTTCGAACATTTTATTCTTTCATTTGTTCAGTTAGTTACAAAAATCAATTTAAAGGAAAGTTAGAGATAGCTCAGAGCCTGATTATAAATTCATTTTATTGCTACCCTTTCCTGTTAATAGAATATGTGTTACTAGAGCAGACAACTGAGTTGAATTGTATAATGCAGATGATATGCTTTCCTCCACAGACTTAGAAGAGATATCACCTCTGTAGCATGTGGGCTTTGAGGCCGAAGCTCTTTTCTACAGTCATTCCTGCTGGGTGGGGCCCCTCTGGCTTCTATCCTTGTTTGGTCAGCCTTCACTCTGTAAGGCTGAGATAAGGTGGTCTCAATACTGAACCTTGACTGCTTCTGCAGCTACTGTATTCATGCCACCTGCTGGAGAGAAGCCAGTAGCTTTTACTAGACATGCGCTCTGCAGACAAGGGCTGCCCCCTTGCTAACAGCATTAGGACACATTGAAAGCATCCACTCTGGCCACGCTGGCTCTGCTTCTTTCTGAGTCTGTGAAGACTGCTCCTGATTGTTCTGTTTTAGAGTCTGTAACTTGCTTGCTGTTACATCCATGGCCCTTGTGCTGATGCTTATTGTTCCGCTTCCTCCTGCTACCACCCCTGCCATTTTATCAGGCTTTGTGACTGCAGAAATATGTGACCTTGTTTGGGGAGAAATGTAGAATTCATTCCTCCATATTGTAACTGAAGTGGTTGCTGTCAACTATTTCAGGGTTCATATGAAGGCTCCTGATGCTGAATTCATCTTGATCCCCTTGATAGAAGTGAATAGTATCTGCCTAGGGGCAAGGCAAAGAAAGTTAGACCAGAAAAGTCACCTCCCTTCTATTCTATAACTATACAGAAAAGAGTTTATAAGAACTCTGAAATCTCAGGTCCAACCTCCCATTTGATGCAAGGATGCCTTAGTATTACCACAATGATGCCTGTGGGCATTCCAAGTTTTCCTGAGCAGTTCCAGTGCCAGCAGGAGCATTGTAGTTCACAGTGAATAAACACACACCTTTTAAATACACCTGTGAGTATTTCTGCTGGCCAAGTCACATGCACTATAATATTTTGATAATTGCTAACATTGTTCACATGCACTCTTGTCTCTTCCACTGATGTATACAGTTAATAGTAAATGACATCATGAACCAGGGCTAGCAAAGTATATGTTCAAGGACTGATTGGTTAGCATTTTGCAGCTGGCATTATAATTTGGATATGAATTGAAGAGTTGCTGACAGCTGAGGAACCTCTAAAATAAAGCCTTGGGGGACTTTTAGATAAGCACTAAGAACCTCCCCAGTGTGGCCTCCAAACGGAGACTTATTTAACTCTGAGCCCTTTTTCATATGTATGCATTTTCCAGGTGAGCCTCAGAACTAAAGCCTCTGCAGATGCAGAAAAGCAAATCTCCCAAGACTTACCATCAGTCTCTTATTGTCTTCCTCAAACCCAGGTATGTCCAGTTTGTTCCCGGCTGGGACGGCCTGGGTACCACTGTAAGCCTCCACTGGGGGTTTCAGCAAATAAACGAGGTTTTCCCAATGAATGAAAAGATCTCTTGTATCTGCAGGGGGACACAGCTGGAGGTAGAAAGAGCGGCCAGTGACAAGCTTCAGGCGGAGCTGTTGTTTGGTGCTATTATGGATGGATATCTTTACAAGCTTCAAGGGAAACAGTCTGGTTAGCTCTAAGATCTGTGTAGGCTTGTTACTTCTTTCCTGGGTGGCAGTGTTGGATCTGTGGTAGTCATCAGAGAGTGTGGCAGGTCGGGCCAGCAGCATGATGTCAGGTAGTGTGAGGTGGGGGCTGGTACGCACGATGCCTACAGTCACCCTTCGGGCCCGGCTGTGCACATCAATCACTTCTCCTCTTTTGCTGATCTGTATAAAGTCACTCTCAAACATCGGTGCATACTTGAATATAGTATACTCCCCCTTGTACAGCTGCTGCTGCAGTTTCCCCATGCAGGTGTTAAACATGCCCGTGGCAGGGCTGCTTTGGGCAGTGTAATACGGTAAATCAGGTGGGTAGCTCATGGCTGTATTTTATAGAGAGCTCCTGGGACTCTCTATGCCCTTCTTACCAAACCTTGCAGGATGTCTTGGTCTTTCTAACAGGTGGAGTAGTGGTGGTCTTCTGCAGGTGTTTGCACTGAGTTGCTGAGGACAGAGCGGGATGTTGATTAGGACTGTCCTGTGCCAGAGACAGGATTTAATTCTTAATCTCAATTGCCTATCATAGTCTCGCTGCTCCTCTTCTCCAGAAACCAAAGTTTCCATCTAGACCTAAACCACTTTGTGGGGCTGCTTTTGTCCTGTCCTGCCCATTGTGGTCTGTCCCCAGGACACACCCTTTGTCTCGGTTGCCCAGGAGCTCCTCCTTAGAACTGGAACTCTGTCTCCTCAGTATCCCCCCACTCTCTCCCCATTCCATGTTGAGCTGGGGCTGAGCCCAGACCCTGTTCCCAGCACCTATAAGACTTTGAATACATCTGGCAAATAGCTTTCAGAAAAGGTTAGGCAAAGATTCCACTAGATATAATTTAAAAAGATACCTATTCTTTCTTCCAGTTTTCTAACTGTAGGTAATATATTTTAAAGAGAGAATCAGATGAGTTGGTAAACAGGTTAGCATAGGATATTTATCACTGTTTACTGAGTCTTTAGTTTGTTCTATCAAAATGAACACTTTTCCTCCTTCTGTGTTTATGGTAATATAAATATGCTTCCTTTATTGACTTGGAACCCTATTCACCTATCAGGAGCAATTCTTCCTGCCCAAAGTCCTTGTATCTTAATTTCCATTTCATGTCTGTGTCACTTGTACTGAACAAAACAATCAACCTAATATAAATTTAGTAACCAAATGAACATTCTAAAGGTATCCAAGCAGTCTTGATGTTGTTTTGAAAGAACTAGGTAGCATTGGACACATTATAAATCGATTTAGGTACTTTATAGAAATAAAAACTAAGTTGATGGTATACATGTATTTTTTTCTTAAAAACACTAGCATTCCACATACATATACTACAAGATATTTATCTCAGGGTTCCATGAAGAACCTGAGTTAATTGCCTTGTTTCCATGGAAACCAGAAACTCATATTACTTGAGAATTTTTTTTCCCAAACCAGCCTGCCAATCAACAAGAGCACATCCTGACAGCCATCCTGTGGGACATTTTGGCACAGAATGGAACAATTGCTATGAGTCTGATGAAGTTTACCTAAGATTCCTCTAGCTAGTTAGAAAACGACCTTGTTAATGTTAGCCCCAATACTTAATATGCTTAGCTGGCTGAATAAATAAAACTGGAACCCGAGATTGGTAATTGCTTTTATATGTCATTGTAGCCACTTTTTGATTGCTTGATCTTAGACATATTTCCATTCAGCTAGTCACTAGGTATCTGTAGCCCAATGCTGCCTCCCCTCTGCACTAGAGTTTTTTCTTTTTTAAATAAGTTTATTTTTACATCATTTTGTGCCTTTTTCCATCTCAGTTGTAATCCCTGTGGGCTTCCCAACACAATTCACCTGTGTGCCATCACCATAGTCCAGCTGAACTGGAGTTTTATTGGGTAAATCATTTTACCTCCTGCATTACCTTAATATTGAGAGGAGTCTTTAGGTAAATTAGATATAATAGAAAACTGGAGGACAGTTGTTACACAGTAGCAAAGTTGTATTTTACAGCTAATTTATGTGGAAAGCTAAGTTATATGATGAATTTAGACACTGAGATTAGATGATTTCCAAGAAGTATTAGAAGTGAGGTCTTGGTTTCTTGTAGCTGCCTAGAACAATCTCTGAGAGGAAAGAGAGAAATTGAGTGAAGCACATTTAATCAGAAAGGGTGATTTGAAATGCTCTGAATTTATCCAGATTGAGAATGATAAAATTTGTGGTCTCACTGTCAAGAAAGTGTTATAGAGAGAAAGCCAAAAATATAGTTGGGTAGCTTCTCCCCAGTGCCTCAGTATGTTAAAGAAAAAAAAATTAAAAAAGAGGATTCATTCAGAGGACTCTTTGAAGGGATTAGGCATGAGTAGCTCAGTTTATTCTTTTTAGCATAATCCAGAGAAGGGATTATGGAGAAAGATCTGTGGAGGAGCCTCTTGTCTAATGGAATGAATCTCTGTGATATATATGGCATACCCAGAGCTTTTTGAGAACCCCACAACAGAGACACTGCCAGATTGGGCTGAAAAGAACAGGGAGAAGACAAAATAAAAGGTTATTAGCTGCTTAAGGGAATGACTTTTTATAGGAAAGAAAAAGGCTTATAAGAATTATTCAATTGCAAATACATGCTAACCTTTATGAAATAGAAATTAAGACTCAGAAAACAGACCAAGCTCCCCCAGAGATGAAGCCAGGCACTACACAGGGCTTGTCCCAGACCTTGAGACCCAGTGGGGTTGGCCCATTTGGTTTTCTAAATTGCTTCAGACTATTGATTCCTTCTTCGCCCCCAACTCCACTTATAATTCTCTCTGATTGAATGAAACTACAACACTGCCTGTCCCACCATTATATTTGGGGGCAAATATCTTGTTTTTTAATTTCAGATATTCACACGTGTCATAATGCAATGTTACTTCAATTAAAAATAAAGTAAAAAATAAAAATCACAGAAAAAGAGGGATTTACTCAGGAGTTATATCCAGAGTTCCACCCATACCTCATTTAGATGATGAGATGGAAATACCTTAGTATAGCTGAGAGTCAGGTAGACCTAAGTTTTAATTTTAGCTTTGTAACTTACTATTAAATAGTTGTCTTTTCTTTTTTATCATTGGTAAAAGATGAAACATCTTCCTACTTTATAAGGTGATAGGAAAATTGGAGAACACGCAGAGTAATGCCACTGAGTAGCCTCTCAAAGGATAGACATTATTGTTCTGGTCTCTTTTAGAAGTATAAACTATTATGCCTTTTAAGAAGTCCTGTCTCTGCTTGAATATCTCCAGGGATACAAGTGCGCTAAAGTCCAGTGTTAGCAGATAACAAGCTGTGGATCCTCAAAAATTTGACTCTCAATTTTCTCATTTCTAAAAGAAGGATAAAAATAATGATAGTGCTGCTACTGTAACACTATAGATACAAACAAATAAATTGCTTTTAGTAAATGATTACAGTACTACCTAGCATTTAGTTAATAAATATTAACTAGTAGCAAAGGTAGTAAAAGGAGGATTCTTCCCAATAATATTATGTCCCAAGTCAGTATATTTTTTTCCACAGCAAAAGTTCTTTGAGTTCTTCCCTTCAAGCCACACTAGCTACCCACCAGCCACTTGCATTCTTAGACCCTTAATAAACATTTGCTGAATGAATTTTCTACGTCCAAGTTCTCTCTAGAAGGGTCAAATAGTAGATATGTGGGGTTTTGCTGTCATATGGTCTCTATTCCAATTACTCTGTTCTGCCATTTAGCTTGAAAGCAGTCACAGGACCTATGAAAATGAATGGGTATGGCTGTGTTTTAATAAAACTCTATGGAAATGGGGCAGTAATCTGGATTTTTGCTGAAATTTATAGATCTCAAGCCTATAGTATAAAGAAGTTACTACCTTAATGCTTATAGTAAAATCTGCACCACTGTGGGTTTATTTGGAAATAGCTACAGGTGAGAAAATTTTTTATCTTGCATAGAAAGATAGAACCATAGAGAAGATGTGAAAATTCTGTGAATGAATCCCCAAAATGCTTTCTCCACATGTAGCAAGACTCCACATTGCCAGTTTCTAAACTCAAGCACAATTTCAAAAGAAGGTAATTTTAGATGTTCAACTTGAACGCATTTCTCAGAGACCTGATTAGTGTTGCTAGAGACCATTCTGGATTTTCAGAAACTAATCTCTAAATGAGAGTAATGTGAGATGGTTATGGCTTCCAAATATTGGTGAACAACTAGAATTAACAGGCAAAACTGTTAATTCTACAGAACTTGAGATTCAATTCAAACACACTGATTCCTTCCTGAAATCTTTCTTACTCTTCCCCTGTTGGAAATAATCGCCTTTCCCTTACTACTCAAATAATTTTGACATCTGTGGATTGCCTCTTTTATGCAGTAATTCATGTAGTCATGTAACATTTGTTCATTTAAGTTACAAACTGCCTGAGGTCAGCATCTGTATGGCACAGATGTTTGTATTCTCTAGCACACTCTGCGGTCCACCTTCTATGGCAGTTGGTACTTAGGCTGAACTTGTCGATCTTTTGAATTTTTCTTTTATGATCTTTGTAGGAGGATAAACTAGAATGGTATTGAATGCTCTCACTTTGCACTTGTTCACAGCATACTCAACTTCTCTGTGTCAGCCCCTGATTTTTTCATTTGCAATATTCCATAAAATATTAGTTCTTATTTTATGATATATCTAAAGTATGGATTCAGTTACACTTTTTGTTTTACCCACTACTCTCCTATGTAAATCTTCTAAGTGTGACTAATTACTGGCCCATTAATAAGTAAATGTCAACAATATGAGAACATAAATAACACTGAGTGTGAACTAATAAATGTTATTATGTTGTTCTCTACATCTGCCAGCAGATATGTTATCCATTGTAGTTTTTACAGTTACTATAGTAGCAAAAAAACAAAACTATGTTTAATTTGAATGAACTGCCAGGAGGACTTCCTACTTATTGCTTTACTTTGTGGCTAAAATGGAATTTGGTTCTACTTATTAGACTCCTTACATTCTGAAAACAGGTGAAAATAAACAGGAATTTTAAGGGAATTTGTTAGACAAAAGAGAAAGTGGTGTCTATTATTGCCTAGTGGTTGGTAAATATTTTATACTGGAGAGGAGAAACACTTTTAAAGAGATGAAAGTTATCACCAGCTTTGTTCTCTTTTCTCTATTTCTAGCATGGCTGTGTGCTTGGGTAGGATAATGCACTGTGATCCTTCTGGGAGAATCTGAGCCCAGTGCTGCTCAGGCTGGGTCACTGTTTCCCTTCTTCTCTCTCTCCTTTGTTTTTAAAATTTAATTTCTTTATATATATTTATATCAGGTGT